TTAAGAGTGCTATGTAGGAAGACCGTGTTCCATACTTCAGAGACTACTTCACACTACAACACAGAAAAGGAATATTATTGGACCAGTGAATAACTTTTATTCCTTCTAAGTTCATCTACAACTAATTTTGGTTTCTGAAGATCATCTTCTCATCGTAGTCCAACATAAACATTTAGAAACAGTAGGAACTTTGGATCTGCAATGGCATTTCCATATAAATACACTAGTTGAGGCTGATATTTTCAACACTGAATGCTTTGTTTGATAGTATCTTAAAAATGTTATTGATCCTGAAGCTTTAATGTAGAACATTTGTTAACTTTATGCTCTTTCATTCACTCTGCTGTTTACAGAAATCTAACTGTTATGGAAATTTCCTTATTATAGCAAGTTTATCACAGTTATTTACTTGTAGTCTGATGCTTCAAGAGTGTGAGCAAGTCCTGCGGAATACACTAACCATCCTTCATTTGCTTTGATTGTTAACTGCCTGTATCACATTGCTGGATCTGATCACAAACATTCAGTCGTTCTTTGAGCTTTTGTATGTTTTTTTACCATATTTACAATATTTACAAAAAACATATTTACAGTAGCTGTAAAATGCTGTGAATCAGCTGAGGCTTGGGCCAGCATGCTGTAAAGAAATAGGTCCCAACATAATTTTTCATGGTTTTTTTTTTTTTTTTTTTTTTCTTACTTGGTGATTGCACTGCTGTTTTATAAATTATATTTCTTTAGTATAAAAATTATAAATCATTACCAGGACTTATGGCAATGAAAGCTTTAACATCTACATTAATTTTGGCTAAAATCTGAAAAAAAAAAAAAAAGCCTTAACATTTCATTCCAATGTTTTGCTGAATTTGTAGTGTAGTGTCAATCATCAGTTCCAGCTGTGGGCAGTCAGAAACACTGCCATGACTATATGATTTTTAACAAAACAAGACGAGGAAGGAATATCATTTGTTCTTGTCATGTTAATCTAAGGACTTAAATTCATTTATGATGATTTAAAAAGTTCACTGATATATCTTTCTCTTCTGCTCCCCTATGCACAACTGAGACAAAAGATGTAGAGCAAAACATTTTCTTAAGCTGATTACCAGTTAACAACTCATATTAATTCTAGTCTTGAGTCAGTGTATGCAATAGATTGCAGTAAAGTAACACAGTTTGGAATCTTAGTTCTCTAGTTACATCTTTGCACATCTTTAATCCTATCTGAACTCAAAATTCTGCAACTAAATTGATAGTTAATAAAATTCAACCAGGCCTGGAGCAGTGGTGGTGGCACCATTTTTATTTATTTGTTTAAATAACATTTGTTTCTACTCTTTGCTATGACTTCTATTTTCAAGAAAAAGAAGCATGAGATTCAGTTTCTACAATATTGAATTTTTTGATCTCTTAGATGAACCACGAAGTGGGGATATGGCATGGCGGGAGTAAATCTCCACTCCGACTTGTCTCACATTAGGGCATACACCTTATTCTCTGTTCTATTTCCTATGAATAATTCATTTTATGAAAAAATATAGTGACTCATTTTTTTTTCATACAACTAGACAGAATTTTAATTACAACATTGGAATACATATATGTATTTAAGGAAGCATCACACTCAAGTTCTGTAAAGCTATTATCAATACAAAATATTTTTGAGAATACTTCGCCTTAACAATTAGATTTCTAACTAGGTTTTTTCTAACTAGTTCAACATTTTCCTCCAATGCTGACTTTGATAACTGGCTTACAAATCTTTCCTTCTCTTTCATAAATTGCCATAGATTAATTAAAATAATGACAGCCAGATTCTTCCTCTTTACTGTACTGTGAATAACCAAAATTCACATGAAGTTGGGAAATATTTACTCATGGAAATGAATTGGACTACATCTCAAGAAATACAGAATAATTATGGAGTCCAATAGACCATTTTAAAGCTATGTCCACCTGTTCAAAATATCTTACAGTTTATGTTCTAGAGCAAGATTCACGTATCCATAAAAGGAAAAGATTTTGTTAGGCATTAAGAGGTTAGCAGTCTGCTGTGAAAAAAAACAAAAAAACAAAAAACAGGATGTTACTGTTTTCAATAATGATCTTAAATATCACATTTGAAAAGTGCTTTGCAAAATAAAAGGATTGTTTCCTAAATCATGGCAACTACTAAGAGAAGAGTTCAGTATCTAGAAATCCACTGAAACATAAGCTTTCATTAATGCAAATTGAATTTATATAAATGGAAGAGTGGGCTAACTGTCTCATTTTACAACTTTCCCAAGTGATTTAATGCTATAAATGCAACTACTGATAAGCCATGATAAAAGGTACCTTTGAGAAAATTGGTATGTCCTAGTGATACACGTCTTTCATCTTTCTTCATATACTAACACACTTTTTTCTTGTAGCTAATAAATCAAATAAAATGAGAGAGTGTCCAAAACTGAAGACCTTACTCTAATGCTGAAGGTGAGACGGCTAGGGAGCATACACCACAGAGACCAGCAGTAAAAGAAGGGGCAGTGTCGTGACAGGCGAGCAGTTTTATCTTTCCCTCTAAATGGAAAATGGAAACAAAACAGTGAAAGTCTTCTGGGATTTGTAGTTTTTCTCTTCTGAAAACCAGGCACCTGTAAATATCAACAGTCCACAGAACTGGAGCATTAATTCTAACTTCCAGTGCACTACCTGATGTTATGATGTAGAATACTGATAACAAAAATCATAAAACCATGACACTTCAGCAATTTTTTAAATTATTTATTTATTTTTATTATTTATTTTTTAATCAGTAGAAGAGCTTAGCAACACATTTACCATTGATTTCTGTGCAAGTTTCTTTATAGACCTTATGAGCTCTTTGGACATTGTATACTGAACACATTTAAATATATGTAAGATGCTTGTTATGATCATCATCCATTCAGGTTAATGGAGAGTCAACATGTTCAAATGAGAAGACATTTCACCATTATTAGTTGTTTAGAAGTCTCCAGATTTTTAACTTTTCAGATGTACCCTAAAAGAAGTGTATGACCCAAATTTGTTTCCTGGGTTATGTATTTCAAGTTGCTTAGCTCATCTTTGGATGAAGAATCTTTATAACTCCAGAAGACATGAGAAACATAGAGACCACAAGTTCATTTTACATCCCAGATCATGCTGGCAGATCTAATAACTTCAAGTAAAACCACACAGTCCATCCTTTAACTGTTATTTTAAGCAAGCTTTAACGGGAGCCATAAAGAAAAGAAAGAGAAAGGAAAGGAAAGGAAAGGAAAGGAAAGGAAAGGAAAGGAAAGGAAAGGAAAGGAAAGGAAAGGAAAGGAAAGGAAAAGGAAAAGGAAAAGGGGAGGGGAAGGGGAAGAGAAAGAGAAAGAGAAAAGGAAGATGGGGCCACAATTCATTGACCAATAAATTCATTTTCTGGTTTTGTGTATTCCCTTTTCATTTCCTGAATTGTGTCAAGGCAGCAGATATTAGCCATGAATCTTGCTATATTTCTGCAAGCTCCGATTCTCCAGCAGGCACAGATCTAACTTAACCAGTCTGCAAAAGGTTTTATTTCTTAGTGGCTCTAGCCATATTACAGGCTGGCAATGCTCATGTAGCAACCTGTGCATCAATGCTTCTTGCCAAACAAGACAAATTAGAAGAACCTATGCAACTTTACTTCTTCCTGATGTCTGCTCTGGTGAAAAGAAATGGAGAACTTTGAACCTGACAGCTCCACTGAATGCAGGAGAAATGACAAGCTGGAATATATTTAATAAAGTTGTACAATAAAACAGATAAATCCTGGATATGTAAATCCAAATGGACTTTTCAGCAACCATTCAGGTGTCTAAATGTTGATTTATAGGTGGTAGGTAGAAGTTCTGCTTTATCCCTGCTTAGAATCAGAGGCTGCAATTTGCCAACACAAGAAAGTCTCTCAGAAAATATGCTGTTGGTGGAGCTCAGTTAATTTCAAAATGTAAGCTCAAAGGATTTATAACTAACCATTCCAAGCTCACCAGTCCAGATGTTTATTACCATTAATTCAAATTCTTTCCAATGGATATTACCTTATTGGAAATTAAAGTCTATACCACTGTAGAAAGAGTACAATGATGGAAAATTAAACTAATGCTCCCATTGGGGCAGTATCTGTTGACTACTAATTCAAACTCATTTTGGCTCCGGGCATCACTGTTTGGACAACACCATCTGTGAAGTGTCAAGCACACATTCAAAATAGTAAAGGAAGAAGAAAATTGGTTAAGATAATTGGCATATTTAGGCCAGAGCCTTGGGAACATCTGATTTTGGGTTGAAGTAACACCAAGATTACTGTTTTTTAAGCAAAACACACACCTAAACAACAGACAGCTGTTAATGATTTTCTCTACCCTTAACCATAAAATTCAACATGGTGTGCCAAGAATCTGAATTATGAAGCAAAAACAAAAAAGGGAATAAGCTTCCAGTAATGAAGTGTCACCCCCTGAAGAGGGGGGAAAGTAATGAAAAAGTTATGGTTGTCTCCAGTCATGGATAATTTTCAGTAACATGGGATGATGATTATTAGTGCATGAATTCAATCAAAAACCACGTGTTTGTTTGATCTTCTTTACTTTGCAAACTGTAACCTGCTCAAAAGTGGAAGGCATCCTGCTGAAACAGAAAGTCACTTCATTTCTGAATTTCCTTTATTTGTATTTCCCATAAATCATCTTTGATAAATGATGTAATAATACATGTCAATTGCTGGCATCATTATCCTAGATATACAGGTGCCATTTGCTTTTGAAGAATTTTCTGAAACTGTCATGAATGAAATAGATTGTAATGTTCTAGCTGAAGAGGAATGAGAGGTGGTAGAAGTCAAAATGATAAAATTTGAGGCTGTAGGTTTAGAACTGTAAAACATATTTTCCAATTGTGCACTCTCCCAGACTTCTGAGTTGGCACTTTGACAATCCAGTAATTAAAATTTCTGGTCTTACCTGCAGCATGAAGCAAACTAAGGATCATTTTCAGACCAATTGACTTTATTATCTCTAAGCAGATTTCAAAGTATTGCTTGGGTAACAAAGCAGAAAAGAACTGTTAGGGAAGAACAGCAGGAATCTAGCTGGAAAGAAATAAAAGTGAACTGAATTATGTTTGTATCTGCTATGAGAACTCAGTAGGTACTGCTATACAGAACTGTTCAAATGGTTGCTGGACAGGAAAGACTGAATAGTGCAACTGGGTAGCAGCTAAATTTTAAAATGTGTTGTTTGTTCTGGTGTAAAATGTTGAGATTTGTATACTCATATGCTTAGTTCATATACTAATAAGATTTTAGGCTATTTAAATGATTGACTGCCTGCAGTTGTTTGGAAAGAATTCTTACACAGACACAAATTGATATTTTTTTTTAATAACAAAAAAAACTTTTTTCTACTTTTTTTCAGTGAAATGTTGTGGAGAAAAAAAAAAAAAAAAAAACAAAAACCAACAACGTAACAGGTAGAATATAGAATAATGCTATTTACATTCCCAGAAGGAAAATAAAGGTTCATTTGTGACTTCTCCAGGGGTACCATATCTATGGCAGATAGATGAGATCCTATGAACTTCAATGAAATGACATCAGGTCATGGAGGATATTTCTCGAAATAGCATGCACTGAAGTCCCATTTCTTTCCCTTTATTCTAGACCTTCAGCTACGTACTGTCCTCAGACAATACAACAAACTTGTTTTTACTGTACTTATAAAAGGTGCTTACTCTAGTTATCCATATTACTCTTTGTCATAATGGGATATATCTCTGTGAATTATACATTTGCATCAGCTTTAGCTAACACTTTCAATTTAATTACACATACTTAACTATTTTCAAGTCCTTACTTGCTTCATTGGTTGTCAAATTAAAAACTGAATATCTTACGAAAACACCAAGTGTAATATGTCAAAATCAATATTTCTTCTATTTCATTTTTAAATAAAATTTAATCAGAATTTAAGTTTCTGAAAAATTTTCTCCTGCTCAGATAGAGAATTTTCAGTCATTTCTGTCAAACAAAAACAAGCAAATTAGTTGAAAATATATTAGCAATATGAATGAAAACATTTAGTATAAAATCTGTAAATAAAAGAGAAACTAACCTTTACAGATGAAAGATTTATGCCACTGTTACTTTGTGAAATTGCATTTCAGATCTGGAATTAGAAGGGAGAGTCTGAGCAGTAAGACAGGGCAATGTATTATTTTTATTATTTTTTATTTTATATGAAAACTTTAAGAGAGCATGAATTCAATATCAAAATAATTCATCCTTTTCCTTTCCTGATATACGTAGGAATATAGGCTAATAAATGAATCCAACATAATTATTTTCTATAAAGATTCTTTTAAAATTACATCCGCTGTCTCATCATGCTTAAATTTTCAAAGTAATAATAGCAATAGCCTTAACATGATTTTACAAGCCTAGCCCACAAGTATTCTAGTTCTTTCAGTTCTTCCATAATTCCAAGGTAGTGTCACTGTAACTAAAAAACACTAATAACAAACTTTCATATAGCATCTTTCATCTGAAGTGATTCCCAAGGGCTTTGCTTTGATTACATCAGTGCAAAGGTCATTCATTTCCAAACGAGTTTCTTTTTATTTTCCTTCTCATTATGCAAAGACATAGAAATGAGATTCAGAGAGCTAACAGGCTGGGAAATTGCTTTACATGTTTCCTTTATGATTTCAGGTGACTTCCCACCCCCCGTGTGCCTGCCCCTGCAAAACAATGAAGTGATGTAAAATCAGGATGGTAATGCCTAGCCTCTAGAGCCACATTTGATTAGAAATGCAGGGACTAATGTGCTGTTGGCTTGCTATGGCCTTAGCATATAGTTTATTATCCAGTTAGAAGAAACATGTTATTCATATAAATGGCATTATTGGAAACATAAATTATTGTATAAATATAGATCTCTGTTTTCAACTGCTGCGGCTTTCATTATGACTAGTTAAAAAATACTTCGATCAGTTGTCTTAGGAATGATCTATATCGAGATGCTTGTCTTCTGTCTCTTCTATGTAATCTTTTCGTCTTCTGGGAAAAAAAAATATTGCACGAAAAGACAAGCGGAAATAAAGTCTATGAAGGAAACTGTTCAGTTCATGTTTGGTATTATAGCACAGCTTTGAAAACTGAGGGGATATAAAGAACTTCAAATGAAAAACACAAAAAGTCTCTCGGCACATTCTATTGTCGTCCTTTAAACTTACAGGTTTCTTGTTTTTAGCAATTCTTTAAAAGCATTTTAAATTTTGTTAAAGATGTCTAACAAAAATGAAAGCTATCTTGCCACAGAAAAAAAAAATTATTACTATTTCAGTATTTTGTTTATAGTTTTTTCGGTTAATTGTTTGGAGTTTGAGGTTAGTATTTTTTCTATGCTTTTTGTTTGTTTGTTTATTGCTTCCTTGTCTTTTAAAGGTAACAACAAAAGCAATACAGTATAAATGGGTTTAAGATTAAGTTCCCAATTAAGTTAATTGGAATTGTATAGGCAGATTTTTTGATCTTTTTAAACCAATCCTGAATATTTGTTATTCAAATATTTGCCTTTTCTCCTAGACTTGGATACCAGAAGAAAGAACTAAAGCATATTTCAAACACAATGGTGTTGTATATCAAAAAGACACTCTTATCTTACTACTGCACCAACTTTAAAAGTTATCTGTAGTAGCATCAAGGTTGAAAATGGTCTTATAGAAAAACCTTTCCTTATCTATAAATGGCATGTGTAACTTCAATCATTCAGAGTTCAAGTAAGCCAGCAGCTAGTGCATTATGCATTGCTTTAGAATAGTTCAGAAAGACTCATAAAGTGATTCAATGAGAGAGAATATAAAGTTTAGTATGCTATCTTCTTTAGTGTTAGAAAAATCAGTTTAACCTCTTATAAACAATTTTCCTCCTCCTCCACATACACCAGCAATGGACAACTGCCTTGAACTATGCTGTAAATTACCACAGAGTTCACAGAAATGTGACCATAGCAGTAAAAGAGAAAGAAATCATTGATTTTATTTCAGTTACTTTCTTACACAGAATTCAGGGGGAAAAAAAAGTGTTTTTTATCGATATATTTTATTTGGAGATGTCAAGGGGATTTCTAAACACAAGTTTATTTACAGTAGTCTGGTTCAGCATTGTAGGTTAAATATTCAAATTATTTAAAACATCTCTCTGCTACATCTACTGATGTGAACAGGCTGGCTTAATGCAGTGATTATTGAAGAGTCTAGTGCACAGAAAAGAGGGCTCTGTTTCCTTTGTTCAAGTAAGAATCTTTTTACAGGAAAGCAAGATTTTAAACAGATTTGTTTTCACAAGGGTGAGAAAAAGGAGCCTTAAAGATACAAAATGACTTTTCCACATAGCTACAGCATCTCTGTGGGAACACATAGCCAGATAGATGCTGAAGCTTGCTGACATCCCAGATTGACATGGACATCTCACGCCTTGACAGAAGAAAACCCACATCTTCAATGGATCTTTCTGTCATATCCGTGTAAGTTACACATTTAATTTCCATACAGATATTTTGTATTCATCTAGTAGGAATCAAAAAAATCCATCAACCTTACTCATATAAGCATATCAACTTCCTCTTATGATTGACATAAACAAAGCTAAAGGGCAGAGTTGAACTGATAGAAAAATAATGAACTGTCCACGTGTTTTTGTAAAACTGAAGAATACCTTTTGGACAAAGAGGCTGAGAGACAAAGAACAACCTGCATCTGTGTTCATAAACCTATTTGAATGTAATAATGTTGGCTCTATTTAAACTTTGAGACCAGCCTTCAAGAAGTTCCAGGTCTTGAACATCGCTGGAAATTCTCTGACCTGGCAATTGCCACCTTCCAAAATCATCTCATGGAACAGTCTAACCACTGACTAATAGAGACAGTAACATTTGACTGCCAGAGAATGTTCCTGCATATTATTTAAATTACTAATATAACAGTTAAAAAAAGAAAAAAAAAATTAGAAGAGTCAACAGTGGGGGATAAGTTGACTAGAGTATTTTTCTTTGTTAAGTAACACACTTTTCCAGACAAAGGCCTCATTTTTCAGTTACTTACAGAAATTTATAGGCATAGTTCTGTCAGTGAAACAGCAGCAAACTTGTTCCACATCTACACCAATATAGGTTACAGCAGGATTGAATCCCAACATTTTTAAACATTTGACACAGCACTTACTTTTATGGAGACCTATAAAAAAGGAGATAAAGTAAACTGTATCATCCCCTTCATCTCCATGGACAGATAAGATTAAGTCCATATGGATTTCTGCAGCGAGAATGTGGAGGGACACAGTATTAACTTTCAGGGTTTCTCTAATCTTGACAAAAAATCATTTTATGTTTGTTTCAAAACTTTCACAGGATTCATGAGCAAGAATGGAGCTTGCGTGCTGGCTGTTCTCCATGTCACTGCTGTACAACAACATGACCATATGAGGTAAAAGAAAGAGGATGCATTTATAGCTGAATTATGGGATATACACTGGATGCAAAAACTTATATTCCACTTGTTCTGCTGATATGGATCACAGAGAAGAAATCTGATCTCCTAAATTTCAGATGAACACCAAAGTCAGCAGATTGTTATGCATACTCCCGATATCTTTTTAACATGAGTAATTGGTTTGAAAGTTCTGCAATAGGTTGCAAAAACACCAAATTCAAAACTAATTACTTATGTAAGAGCAATCATTTGAAGTCTTACCTTTAAAAGCATGTGCAAACTGTTTTTCTCAGTTTGATCATTTGAGAGTGTATGCACTCTGTGCAAAATATTCAGATATTCACTAAAGCAGAGAACAGAACTGTGAGATAACTCATGTGCTGCAGTTTTTAAGGTACTGATCCTACAGAGGTGATATGAATCTCTGATCTAGAAAAACCCATGTAGTTTCTATAAAATTACATAATTTCATCAGAAAAGACCTAAACTATCTATCATGGATATAAAATGAAATGAATGAGATTATTCTCATACTTAGATCATGAACTTATGTTCATCCTTATTCATTAGAGTGAGGTTATGTATCTGTGTTCTTTTGTAATATGGAAGCCATTGTTATTTTCTGAGAGCTCTGTAAATCCACTAATTCTCTGGTGTTAAATATACCTAAATGTTTTTTCTTTGTCTTTCAAAATGGGGGGAAAAAAAAAAAAAAAAAAAAAAAAAAAAAGTTTATTTGGCCACATACAGAATCTGAGGGAAAAGTCGTTTGTTTTATTGATAATAATAAAAAAACATACTTCAGTTATACAAACAAAAATTCCTTTTCAAGTTTTATGGATATCCTGGAAAAACAATTAATCACACAGATCTTTTGTGAACAAATATTTGACAATGGCATGGGAGTAGCCCATGTGGAGCCTGTTAGGATGCAAAATGTTAACAGCAGAACCATGCCAATTTTGCAGCAGTTTACTTTTTATGTGAGAGTGATTACAGCTGGAAGCACACTAAAAATTAACAACACATAACTACAAAACATTAGCAGAAATTGCAAAATTGAACTCAGCCACAATAAAAATACAGAAGTTGATTCTATATTATTACTTTATGTCTGTAGAAAAAAATATATATATTCCTTGTTGAAATATTTTTTGGGTACATTTTAATGTTTTTATCAATGTGAAAAAGCTCTTTTAAGAATATTACTATTATTTTGTATATGTGCTGTGTGAGGATTTTATTCACTTCCAGAAATGAATTATGTTTACTGATGTGCAGTGACCAATGCATTGAGATTCCTAATGCCCAATGCTTGTGTATACTTTCTGATATGAAGACCACATCAAAGATAAAGATAAAAAATAAAAGGAAAATGAGAGATGAAATAGAAAGAGAGATGGGAACGAGACGTAACAAAATAACTTTTTACTTTGATGCTTCAAAGAAGAGGGCTGAAACTCATGCATAGTTGCCTGGAGGCTGAGTCATCCAATATCCAGCAGCACTTGAACTAGTGAGCTTTTGTACAAGTAAGCGGAAGAGAAGAAAAATATGAATGTTATCACTTCATTAGATTGTTCTTCTTGATAAAATTCTTGGTAGATTTAGATTTTTAAAATTACTATTAGTTTTTTATTTTGTTGTTGTTGAAGTGCCACTCTGAGGCAAAGGAAAC